GACACAAACCGCGGTCGACTACGTGGGAGTCCAGCGACATAGCCATTACGCTAACTGCTGGTTCCCCCCAGCCTCCTTCTTGGCCACTGTTTCCTCTGCTCCCTGCTCACAGGCAGTTCTTAGAGCCCGTCCTGGATCTGCTTCCCCTCTTAGGCTGTCCGTGGGCGTCTCCTCCACACCCAGGGCTTCGGTTACCACCTACGTACTGATGACACCCCGATCTCGATCCCCGCTCACCTCTCCAGAGCTTCGGGTCCCTGGCTACACACCTGGGCCATGCATAGTAGTGCCACTCACCATGTGCTGGCCACAGCACGCCTGGTCCGACACACAACAGGGGCCCTGCCTTCCACACCCGCCACCTGGGTCAGTCAGGACCTGAGGAGTTGCCCCTGTTGCTCACCCGAACTTGGGGGCTCGGGGAAAATGGCTGGGGTACAGACAGGCACTGCCAGGAGGGAGGGCCCGGCACAGCCCCAGCCTGCCGCTGCTGCCCGCTGGTGACAGAGGCCTGGGTCCTTCCCCTCCAGTACTTTGTCTTCGACTTCCACGTCTCTCCTGACGTCATGTTCGACAAGATCATCAGGATCTCGGTGAGTGGGGACCACCCCTGGCAGGCAGGGCCACCAGCTTCAACTGCACCTCCGTGCAAACTTGAAAGGTGACCCCTGACTGGACCAGTCATGAAAAGGCAGCCCTGTGCCTGGACACTCAGCTGATAAGGGGGACACGGGCTGGATTTCAGCCCCTCTTGTCCTTTAGCCAGGGCCTCTGTAGAGTGCACAACCTAGTCACCCGTCCATGGCCGCCAGCCAGAAGCAGGAGGGCAGGAGGGGCAGGTGCTGAGCCTCAGTGAGCCTCCCCTGCCCTGCCACACTCCCTCACTTCACCGTGAAGTTCAGGACCCCAGAAAGACTGAGGTAGCACCCCCATTAGTGGGTCCTACCCCCACCCACCCTGACTGGCGGCCGGTGGTTCTACCCGGAAGGTGATTCACTCCAAGAACCTGCTACGCAGCGGCACCCTGGTGGGCTCCTTCAAAATGGATGTGGGAACCGTGTACTCCCAGCCTGGTGAGTATCCGCACAGCACACAGCTCCCGGAGTGTGGCTGCATGGTCAGTCCTGCGTGGGGGTTCCTGGGCACAGATGACCTGGGGACTGTGAATCCACACAGCCAGAGGGCCTGTGGAGAAGCCGTGTGCAGACTGTAGCAACCGCAGCGAGCAACCGTGCACAGGTCTGGGGCTGACGCGTAATCGGTCAGAAAGCCACGCAGAGCCGGAGCAGAGCCTCGTCTGGCTCGTAGCACTGGGCAGGCTGGAGGGCCCCGCCGCGTGCAGCCGGGGAGGGCCGTGCAGGTCTGTGATAGATGAGGGAGGCCCTGCCTCCTGTGCTGATACCTCCTGACCAGAAGGGACCCTTTCATCCTCACAGAGCCCCATCACCCTCTCTTAGAGTGGGCCCCACAGCTCCGAGAAGTGCCAGGCCTGCCCCAGACATGGCAGTGTGGCTCCAGAGCCTGTTGAGTCAGGTGTCCCGTCCAAAGGCAGTGAGGCCGGCCAAGGCCAGATGGGTGGCTGCCTCTCAGGGGCCTGGGCTCAGAACGCACGTTCACAAGGGACCCGTGCCACCTGAGGACAGCCATGTGGGCTGCGGCTGCTTGACTGCTCTGTGGGTTCCCCTGGGCCAACACCCCAAGGGGTGACCCGGAGGGCATGTGAGGATGGACCAGGCAGAGCAGGCGCCCACTGCCTGACAGATGGGTGTTCACCATGTGACCAGCTCAGGAGCCAGCCGATGTCCCCTGAAGTGAGCCCACTGTTCAGAGTGGCCCTGGAGGCCCTTTGGCGGTGACCATACAGTCTTCCCAAATTGTCACATTTGACCCGCACAGGACAGAGGAGATAATGAGGCCCAAGGAAACTAAGTCACTAAAAGTGCCACAAATCTAATGGGGTGAGCAAATTGGTGATTTCTTGAACTCAACCCACTGGACAGTAGAACCGTGACTCAGACCGGGCAATCCGAGTCCCAAGCCTAACACTGTACACACAAATCCCAAAATCAGAGGCCGTTCGAGCCTCGTGAGACCTTGGAAACGTCTGGTCCAATCCCTCCTTTAAGCTGGGGAAACTGAGGCCCAGGGTGAGGAAGGAACTTGCCCAAAGCCTGGGAGCAGAACCTGGTCTCCTGGCCCCAGACCAGTGCCTAACCCACCACCCACCGCACATGTAGCCCTGAGAGAGGACAGCCCTACTGACCCACCAGGGCCATAGGGAGCAGCAACAGGCTGCCGCCATGTTGCTTCGCACTGCTGGGGCCACTTGTTTGGAAGGACGCTGGCATCCCTAAGGATGGCCTGCACCCCAGGACTGAGCAGTGACCCTTGGGATCACCAGAGGAAGCCTAGAGGAAATTCAGGGGTGGAGAAAGAGGCAGGAGCCCCAGTGGATGCCAGGCACTGAGCTGACCACGCTGTTCCAGCACGTCCCACCCTCACAGGCCACATAGGCCGTATCGCCCCCACCTCACAGCAAGGAAACGGAGGCTGAACAAGCTGAGATAACTGGCCCGGGGCACAGCAAAGGGGAGTGGGTGAAACAGAATGTAGACCCAGGTCTGTGTGGGTCCAAAGCCCAGGCCCTCTGCTGAGGTGACTGGAGGTCTGTGGCTCCTGCCAATTCTATCCCTGGGCCTGCTGTCCTCCCAGGCAGAGGAGAGGCTGCGGTCACTCAGTCCCGTCAGCTGAGGCTCCAGCGTCTTCACTCGCACCATCTCCAATGTGGTCTGACCTCAACAAGTCCTCAGTTCCTCACCCTGCCGGGGTGTTGTTGAACAGTGTACGTGACCCCAGGGTCACAGAACTCAGGGTGCTGCTGGGCAGCTTTGTGGGGGTCAACACCTAGTGGAACTGGAAGGGTTTCCCAGGGGAGACAAGGGCCTGTTCTCACCCTGGCAGGACCACATTTGCACCATCGATGCAGTCAGAGGACAGTCCCCTCCTTGCTCCTCTCTGCGGGAGGTGAGGCGGAGCCATAGGGGGCCCCTCTTCTCTTACGGGCTGTAGATGAGATCGATGAGATCGGGGGGAGGTTAACAACTTCCCCAACCCAGCTGGCCTTACTGGCAGGTGTCAGAGCAGGCCAAAGAGAGAGGAGGTGACGTTCCAGGCTGGTGAGCGTCCAGCTGGGGGCCTCGTGTGGTCCCGTATCCCTGTCCTGAGAGCACACAGTATTCGGACTGGGAGAGCCTCAGTGTTTGCCCAATATTGGGACCCCCCCCACACACTCCTGATTGGCCTCCCACCTCCACTTAGCACGCCCAGAAATAGGGAACTCACCACCTCCTATTTTAAATATCTCTACTTAGTTTATGTCAAACCAAAACCTGTCACTTGTAACCTTCACCCACTTTCACAGATCTGCTTTTCAGGCAAAAAAAAAAAAGAAAAAAATATCCATTCCCTTTTCAAATAGCCTTTACGTTTAAAGGCAGATTTCCTGTCCCTCCTGAGTCTTACTCTCTTCCTTGCTAAACTTCAGGAGTCCATCGAGCCATGAATGGGTCTGTCCATCTACTCATGTCTCCATCCAGCCATCCACCCACAAGGCCACCCACCCACTATATATTCCTCCACCATCTGTCTGGGTATTGATGATTCTCCCATCCATATACCTGTTCACCATCTGTCCATCTGTCCACTCAGCCAGTCTGCCCTCTGTCCACCTGTCCTCCAGCCACCTAGCTATCTGCTTTCCTATCCGTCCTGTGTTCATTGGCCTGGCAATGCTCTGGAGATGCCTGGGACATGGCCCCCTCCACCTGAGCTGTGCCAACGCATCTGAGGGTCTCCTGCAACTCCTCAAATGAATGGCTTCCTCCTTTCTTGCCATCCTTGTCCCTCTCTTCCGTCTCTGCAATGGCATTCTCTCCTCTGAGTCACAGTAGTACTGATCTGTCCCCAGACTTATTTCTAATACACCTCCAGGAGCCCACTGGGGTCAGAGCTGTGGAGGATGCAGGGCTGGGCTACAGGTATGGTGAAAGGGGAGGGAGAGTCTGAGCCCCTGGAGACTTCGGGGTCCACACAGAACTGGGGGAAGGTTCGGCACGTAGGGGCCTGGGTTCCCTCTCCTGTGCACCAGGTTTAGAGTGAACCTGAAGGGGCAGCCCCTTCCACAGTGCCTCCTTCTCTGCATCTGTCCTCTCCTGTGCATCGTCCCAGGCCCTGGGGACCTCAGGGTGAGGCTCAGCCATGTCCTTAGGTGCCTGGAATGGGAGATAAACAGCACATGGGTCATCACAGTGCACAGTGTGGTGGGAGGTATGGACACTGAGGGCAGCAGAGAGGCCAGGATCAACTCTTCTGAGGAAGTCAGGGAAGACTGCATGGAAGAGAAGACACTTGAGCAAAATGAATACAGGTTTACCAGTTGACAGGTAGAGAAAGAGGAAGGAGGCTGAGCACCTTCTAAGCTCAAAGGCCTGCAGAAGTGGCAGCGTGGGGTGGAGCAGCAGGAGTACAGAGAGGAACGAGCAGCTTGGCCTTGCAGGAGCGCAAGGTGGGGTCCGGGAGAGCTGCACAAGGAGCCCTTCACCCAAGGCACTGGGGAGTCCCAGGAGGGCTGTCGGAGGGAGCCTCCGTGTTGGTGGGCTCAGTCTAGAGGCTGACTGGGGAGGAGGTGGTAGGAGGGGCTGCGGGCAGACAGGCCAGCAGGTTTGTAGTTTCATGGTCACGCCACACATCTGGATAGATGGCCATGGCGGGCCTTGCCCCAGCAGCCTGGTGCTGGGGGGATGTCCTCCATGCCCCCTGGCCCAGAAGCAGGCAGAGCTGGGGTTCAAGGGCCAAGAAGACGCTCAGCTCTACAGCCTCAGCCTGCCCTGAGGATGGGGAGCCGTGGGGGTGGGGCGCCCATGCAGTGCCCACTCCTTCACCCCTGCAGAGCACCAGTTCCATCACAAGTGGGCCATCCTGTCTGACCCCGACGACATCTCTGCCGGGCTGAAGGGCTATGTAAAGTGCGACGTCGCTGTGGTGGGCAAGGGGGACAACATCAAGACACCACACAAGGCAAATGAGACAGACGAGGATGACATTGAGGGGTAAGCCCCCCTCATCGTCCCAGCCCTGGAGACCCTAGAGGAGCTCCCTGGCGTGCACTGGGTCTGGGCCCCTCACCACCCATCTTGCCCACTCTCCCAGAGGGCCCAGCTCTTTCCGGAAGAAGGGTTGGTGGAGGATGGTTAACAATCATGATCCTTCAACACCTAGACTTCTGACTGAGACATTTGGTAGGAAAGTAGTGCTGGCAGGCCAGAGTCCAGGGACTGCCAGGTCTTGACACCCGAGGGGTACACCCGCGGCAACACGGGGATTCCATCTGGCGTGCCAGTTCCAGGCAGCTGATGTGGCCGTTGAGAAGTAATCTGGGGCCTTGTCTGGACTCAGTGGAAAAGCGCCAGGACCCAGTGAATCACAGTTCCATGGGCTGGGGGAGGAAGGGGTTGCCGGGAGGTTGTTGTCTCAGACACAGAGAATATGGCACAAAGCTCGACAAAGTCAGTAACAACACTAAAATCGGCATTGCGCTCTACAGTTTCT